GTCAACTCTGGATGATGAATGCTAATGCACACACACACACATATATATATAACATATCATCTTTATAGTAAAATGTAAGTTCTAACATGATGCAAATACTTTTCATTTTATCTTGATCAACTTATTAGCATACTTTAAGTCTAATTAAAATGAAACGGTATCATTCCGGTGGAGAAAGCATGAAGCCAAAACATCAGCAACATAAATTAACTCAGTATTGTTAAATTAACTAAAGTTATTGGACTAAGCATAATAATATTTGATTGATACAGAATACACGTATGATGCATTGGGCTACGTTTAAGCCCAGAGTTTATTAAGGCAAAAAATACGATGCGAACTATGAAAACATCGCACAGAACATTTAAATTTAAACTTTCTTAATTTGTATTTGGACTCTGTGGTCAGTTTTAGTGTGCTTGATTTTTTAACTCATAACAATGATCCTCCTACTGTTAATTAGTTAAAGAGTTTTATCTGTACGGTGAAATGACAGTAAAAAACGCTAAAGAGTATTTATTTTACGAAAATTTCACAATAGTAGTGAACACAAAAATATAACAAATACCAAAGTCATTGATGCGTAATGTGAATTAAATACAAGTTATTATAAACCTGTTTGTGATATTAACAGTTACAAGAAATCAGAGTACCAGCCCAGTAATGCAATATGTGCACACTATCAGCACAAGAACTTTAAATTGAAGAATATCTTTAAAGACTGAAATTTTCAATGACAGATCAACAACTAAAGTGTTTTAGTTTACACTTATCAAAAAAGAAAAATAAAGCATATTTACGAATTAAATAAACTAACATAACCTTGAACTCTCGTATGCAATGCTTTAAGACAACCGTTAGCTGATGGCGCCTGTTCTTTATTTACCATTTCTGTTCCTTAAGGATGTTTAAGTCGCTACTCGTACATCACGTTTAGCACTGTAGCGCCTTCTCGTGGAAGCAAGTTTAGCGGCTGAAGGTCGCAAGTGCGAACATGGAAATAGGAATGTTCTTTCGTCATTCCATAAATGACATCTTTAGCGAAATGTCTAGTTTTTACGCTTAGAAGACATCACCTGAAAGTGACGCAGACAGAATGTTCATTCCTCATTTTTTATTTTCCTAAGAACATTTTTCAACCCGTTACAAAGCAACTTTCATGGGGCACTGTTGAGTGACTCAAACAGACAGAATTAAATTCCCTGCGTCTGCCAAGGAGATGTAGCACGTGCTCGATTACATGGAGATAGCAATTTCAAGACTAGGGAATGGATGTAAACTCGAAACAATCGAACAGCAATCATCGATTTTTCAGAAAAATACCCGTAAAAAGGTGCAATTATAACATGAATACTGTTCTACTAAATTACTGTATCAAGATATAATAATACCTATTAAACAGATGTAATCTCTCCTCATTATTTGAAAACTGGAATATAGGGTTGACGATAAGAATTCAGGTTAAGCTGTAGAACTAGCTCGAAGGAATGCGAGCACATATGAAACGCGATATCAAACTTAATATCTGCATTGATCACTATATGGAATAAGTCAGTAAAAGAAGAAGTATTTTTATGGAAATGTATTTAGCTGGAAAAGTGTTTAACACCTGTTTTCACAACAGTATTGCACGCATTAGAAGAACAAACTATATATGTTGGTGTTATTACCGGGTTACCCACATTTAGATCCTACGGTAAAAGCCACTGGGTAAATTTCAAGGCCATTGCTGTTCTTCAGTAGTAGTTATTACCGGGTTACCGACATTTAGATCCTACAGCAAAAGTCATTGGGTAAAGGTCAGGACCAGTTTTGTCTTTGTTTAGTAGCAGTTATTATGGGTTACCAACAGTTGGATCCTAGAGTCATTAAGTAAAATTCAAGGCGGTTGTTGTTGTTTATAGATCCTATAGTGAAAGTCACTGGGTAAAGATCAAGGCCGTTCTTATAGTTATTAATAATTATTACCGGACTATCAACAGTTTGATTCTAGAGCGAAAGTCTTTGGGTAAATTTCATGGCCTCCATATTTTTTAATGGTTTCATTAAAAGTAAGTTTTTCTAAATGGTGTGAAATGAATGATGCCTGATGGTCTTACAAGTCATTAAACGACTTAAGTACGAGGATTAAACAGAAATTACAGAGCCTTCGCAAGCACTGTTACAATGTCAAATCAAACAATTATATTACGAGAAACGTATTCAGAAATACGAAAGTATGTTTGTTATCATCCTCGAGAATTGAAGCTAGTGACAGTAACCAAGAAGTATAATGAATACTCGCATAATATGTTGAACGTTAAAGTTCCAGTTAATCTACATAAAATGTTACTTTAAATATTGGCCTGAAACTTCGAAATAACTATAATTAAAAAATATAATACAGAAAAATGTAATTTTATATAAACATAATACAAAATAAGTACGAATACACAAATGTAGTTCCAAATCAAAACGAGTGTAATACCGAACCTGAAATTCGTACAGTTACAAATTATGTAAAAGTAATAACGTCTAGTTACACAACTATCATTTGAAATGATTAATTATACCGTTGTAATTATGAATGTTGTACTGGCAGATTTCTGTAGCTCATTCCTTTCAGTTACATGCAAGGTTTTTTTTCGTGTTTTTTTTTGTTGTAATATATTACTTTATGTTGTTGTTTTTTTGTCAGATTGTAAACATATCTTCAAATCTTCTAGATTTCCAAAATTTTATTGGCCAATTGAAATTTTTAATTATTCATAGGATTTCATTTTCTTCTTTCTACATTTAACAACAGCAAAAATAAACAACAAAAAAGACAAACGCTTTTAAATGTTCGTTTCAATTACCGAATGGAATCTAATTCAGAAAGTAAATACAAGATCAACAATTTCACAATAAATTAATCAGTTATAGTTAATCATTCAGAATAGGTCATTCTTCCAAGAAAAGTTCAGACGTTACTATCGTACTAAGGACAGTTAGTCATGTCGTAATATCTGATCAAAGAACTATTTTGTAGAACTAAAAGATGATGGCGTAAATTCCAAAAAGTTATCTTAAATAAAGTATGTGAACGATATCATCTATATATATAAAACTCAAAACCTCTCTGTTTTTTGTTTGTTTATTTTGCTTGCTTGTTTGCCTGCCGCATTCACTGCGCAGGTCACACTTCCCGCACGTGTAGGTGCGCAAAACGATAAGTATTCTTTGATATACGCGTCTATCGTCTGCCACCCATACGGGTGATTTTATCATTAACATATAAATTACACGAATAAATTCTATGCAGACTTGAAATTTTTTGGAAGGTTAAGTTAACATTTAATTTAGAATATAGCGTTATAGGCCTACTTAGTTATAGATCATTAACTATACATCTACTAATACATAATATATTTAACCTCACACACAAAAGAAATGTATGCAGAATTAGAATGCTGTATGTGAAAAAACAAACAGTAGGCCTAGCCTATAAAATATAATTATGCTGTTTACCATAAAATAGATTATGTGAAAAGAGTAAGGCTTACATTATAATACTTACTGTGTAAAATCAGATTAAAGTCAAGTCAGCGAATATGTTGTATTTTCATTTTTTTCTTCTGGGTGGTACAGTGACCTGAAAGTGATCTCTTTTTTCTTCCTTTTGATACATTATAAAGTACAATATTGAATTTTGTTTGTTGTATATTTCACACATCAATGTCATAATGTGAATACGGTATCACATTCATTTAAATATATTACATTTACATTAAATCAAATTGAACATAATATTACATACATATTTACGTTTGAAATTTTAATATTTGAGGAGGGATGACGGGGGATGGTGGAAATAGAGCTAGGCTTAACCTGTTCACCTGTATAATATAATCTAAATATTCTCCATAAGGGCCTATTCAACCCTTGTCAATGAAAGAAAAACAAAAAACATCGTTCATAAGGAAGCCCTAATTTAAAACAGGTTAGTAGTTTATTTTCAAAAATTTAACCTAAGGTTTTTGTTGTTGTTGTTGTTTTCGAAAACCGGGCAACGCTCGGTAGCTCTGCTAGTATGCTATACATAAGGCAATATATATACTCTATATATATATATTGCAAGGGTATTGCAATCGGGGCCCCCCAGTGGCACAGCGGTACCTCTGCGACTTACAACGCCAGAAAACGGGTTTCGATACCCATGGTGGGCAGAGCACAAATAACCCATTGTGTAGCTTTGTGTTTAACTTCAAAGAACTAATTACCTAACTAACAATTGCAATCGGGTCCATCTGTGTGTCTGTGTTTCTGCGCGCGTATCTCGAAAACTAATAGACTTATGTACACGAAACTTTTGCACGAGATAGGAAGTCAGAATGGGACAGTCCTCCCCAAATGTGGTCTGGATCTAAATCCGGATCCAGACCCTGGATCACTTTGAATCATTTTTATAATGGGGAGATAGGGCATTTTCGCGGTTTTCGGTTAATAACTCTATAAAGCGTGGTCGGATTTGTACCAAATTTCATGGGTACATTAAGGTTGAGACTCCTCATCACACTAAAAAAATGATACGGATCGTTGATAGTTCTGGATCTGAGAAGGATTTTCTGAGTTCGAAGGTGAAATTTGAAATTATCCAATATAAACTCAAGCAATCTCAAAAAGAGCGGTGGGGCGATGGTATGCAATCTCTCTGATTTCATATGTTATATATAGTTTTGTATCTCTGATTTTCAAATCACCTGTTACATCCACGTCGGTTGTTAGACAAGTATTACTAATACTACAGATAAGTAATATTGTATTAAACTAGAGACGTGTCTAAGTCACGTCAGATAAGGTAATAAAGAGCTATTTCTTACACAGTGACTAAGAAAATAATTTGTGAACAGTAAGAATACAAGAATTTATGGAACCAGTAACATTCTTCAATCTTTCATTTCATTGACATAGACAAGAGTCTTCAGTAAAATGTGATTTTTGTGTACTTCCTTCAGAAAACAAAATTCATTGTTACTCACGAGTTTGTTTTGATATTCTTCGGTTGGACTTCTCCCCTTTAATTGGCGGCCGATTCCGATACTTGCCTGCATGCAATCCTGTAAGCCACAGAGTAACCCAGAGGATGAAGAGTATGTGAGGTGTGGTCAATCTAAACATTGCAAAATCTTTGATTACCAAATGCAATCACAATATTTGTTCTGAGTGTCGAACACAAGCGTTACAGGGAATAACGAAGAGCAGGCAGAGATTATCATAGACTAGTGTTCAGCCAGTGATTCGTGACAAGACGTTTCAGATAGGACGGGCCTAAATTATCGAAGATACGCGTGTTTCAAATACCCCTTAATATCTAAAACACCAAATAGTAGCCGGGCGACAGCCGTGAACATAAAACCGCTTCTTTCGGAGGCCAAGCGTGAATGGAGCACGATACACAGAGTGCGGTAACTTCTCCTTGACGTAAAGTATCTGCAGTGCGCTGAACGCCTAGTGGCGAAATTGCGAAACTTTATAAAGCGGGCCATTTGAGTGTGATTAGAAGAATGAGTGGATAGAACTTAAGGAGGAAGAGGTCCCTACGAACCTGACCCTCCTAGATCACAAAGACCTAAATCCCGACACGGAGAGAGAGAGAGAGGATAGAACAAATCAAACGTATATTTCAAACTTGGCTAGATGAATGCCTGAGAAATTCCATAGGTTACGGACTTACTTAGGATTCAGTAACAGTGCAAACAAAGTAACAATTCCAGAGAGGAAGGATGAGGTCTACGTTGAACCTGACCCTTCCTGGTCCAAAACATGAACCGAATCCTGATGAAGAAGAAGAAGGATGGAACAATAATTAAAATTGGCGAAGTAGTTATCAAATCTTTTCGTGAATGCATGCCAACTGTTTCCAAGTCAAATCTTGACAAAAAGTATCTTGTCCAGATTCAAGTTCTATAATTTGACTTATAAATACCTAAATGTGCCCAACTAATTTCATTCATGCACATACAAACACCTCTTTGTTGTCAGATAAATTTTTCTACCGTTCTGTAAGTTACTTTAAGGAAAAATTTAAATAAAAATTACATCATGTCACCGTTAGAAATATTATTGATTATAATAACAATACAAAAATTTAACCTCCCCTTAACATCTGCTTCTCGTGCATTAAAGTAGCAACCTAGATGAAAAGCATTATTGTTAGAGAAATGTTTCTGAACTGTAAGTTATTTTCTTTACAGAACGGTATACAAACTTTGCATAGAAAAAAAACAACAAAAAACTTAGAGTAGTTGTTTGCAACATGTATAAACAGTTCCCGACAAGAGCTTTCTCAAGCCCCCCCCCCCAGTGGCACAGCGGTATGTCTGTGGACTTACAACGGTAGAAACCAGGTTTCGATACCCGTGGTGGGCAGAGCA